CCGGTGCCCACCGTGCCCGCCTCCGCCCAGGAGGGCGGCAAGCAGCCACCGCCACCACCACCCCCGCCGCTGCCCGGCAACCGCGCCGCCACCCCCGGCTCCCCGCGGCGGGTGATCGTGCAGGCTTCGACGGGCGAGCTGCTCCGCTGCCTGGGGGACTTCGTGTGCCGCCGCTGCTACCACATCCCATCGCCGCTCGCTACTGGGCCTGCGCGTGCGCGATCGCGCCTTCGGGATTCCCTTCAGCAGGCATCAAGCAGCCTGCCTCCCTGCTTTTTCCAATTAAGGGAACCTCCACTCTCCTGCCCCTCCGTGTTTCTCACCCCAAAGCCTTGTGGGCAGCAGGAAGTGGGGCCGTCCTGCGCCGGGTGGCTGCTGACACGTCCCTTGGGCAGGAGAGGCATCCGGCTGGATGAAGGCAGCGACGCCTGGGGAACGAAACAGCACGGCAGGTCTGAGTTGGCGCCTGGAAGGACACAGACTGCTTCATGTCGCTGCATTCCACAGCTCCGAGGCTGGCAGGTGAGTGCGTGCACTCCTCTCTCTCATTTTATTTAATGTGCATTTTTGAAGCATGTGGAAATATCCTGCGTCATCAACCACTTTGGGGAAAGTGTGCGTGTGTGTGTTTGGGGCTAGATTTCATGCATGCCTTTTTTTTTTTAAGTTCTCTTCCTGCTTCATCCACATTCACCCCCCAAAAGGCCATTTTCTGTGTGCTGAATAAATTCTGCAACTCAAACGGCACGAGGTGCCAATGCATCGGGGCAGTGGAATTTATTCTGCTTGCAGAATTCTGCAACTCAACCGCATTTTGATGTTTAAATGTTGTATTTTAATCTTGTTTTTAAGTTATATTTCAATCAACTTGTTTTATTATTGGGTTTTTTATTTCAATCAACTTGTTTTTTATTATTGTTTTTATTTCAATCGACTTATTTTTTATTATTTACTATATTTCAATCGACTTGTTTTTTAATTTGTTGTTAGCCGCCCTGAGCCCAGTCTTGGCTGGGGAGGGCGGGGTATAAATAAAATTTATTTGGGAAAGATGGTTAACAGCGTATACAGCCATTAAGTGACAGTGGCCTTATTACAGTCTTTTTCAACCGCTGTTAGTGTTTTTCAACCTTTTTGGGTTTTCTGTAAACTGGGGAAGACATCCATGTTGGAAGTTCAATTCCTTGCATAGCCATGAAGCTCAATGGAAATTGCCTTGCTCTTGCCCTCTCTAATCCAGTGTTTTTCAACCGCTGTTCCGCGGCAGCCTAGGCCCTCGGGGACCTCGTGGCTTCCGCTTTTGCGTGTGCTGCCGTCACTCTTCCCGCCATTCCCATGTATAATTCGTGCCCGTAATACAGGCAGTAAAAACTGTTCTGTATAACGACTACCCCGCCTCTCCCCCCCCATCTAAACCCATTTTTTTTCCTTTGCAGAAATGAGCCGCTGCATTGAGCTCACACAGTATGCATGTTTTTGCCTGGCTGTGATTGGTCCGGACTCCAGCCTGGACCTATCACAGTAGGACATCATCTTCCGACTTCCTTCCCGCCTGAGCACAGAGACCAGGACTCAGCGGGAGTCGGCACTGCAGAGAGGCCGGATACTGCAGTGATGGAAAAGTTTTTGAAAAGAAAAGAACTGGACTCTGAACAAAATTTGGAGCCAGATGAGAGGCCAAGTACGAGTGGGCATGAAAAGAAAGCAAAGATGGTTAGCTCAAGCAAATTCTCTCTCACAAGGCAATATAGCGAAAGCTATATGTCATTTGGATTTACTTTCACCGGAGATGCAAACCAACCAACTCCACTGTGCGTGGTGTGTGGTGAAAAGCTAGCTAACAGTGCTATGGTCCCAAGCAAACTTAAACGCCATCTCCAAACGAAACACCCTTCGCTTCAAAACAAGAATGTGGACTATTTTGTTCGCCTGCGTGAAAACACGGAGAAACAGGCAACTAGCTATCATGTTGCTGAACTTATAGCCAAGACAAAAAAGTCGCACACTGTGGCAGAGACATTAATACTTCCCGCCTGCAAAGCTATTGTAGAGGAGATGCTCGGACCTGAAGCAGCTAAGGAAATAGCCAAAGTACCTCTCTCAAACAACACAATTTCCAGACGTATTGATGACATGTCTGCAGACATTGAAAGTGTGGTTTTGGAAAAGATCCATAGCAGTGAGAAATTTGCATTACAACTGGACGAGTCTACTGATATCAGTGGACATGCTCAACTCTTGGCCAATGTGCGTTTTGTTGATGGTGATGCAATTAGAGAAAACTTCTTTTTCTGCAAGGCATTGCCAGAAAAAGCAACAGGAGAAGAAATTTTTCGGGTCACATCAGAATACCTTGAACAAGGAGGACTTAAGTGGGAAAACTGCATAAGTGTCTGCACCGATGGAGCTGCAGCCATGGTCGGGCACACCAAAGGCTTTGTAAGCAGAGTGAAGGAAAGAAATCCAAATGTTATTGTTACGCATTGTTTTTTGCACCGTGAGGCCCTCGTAGCCAAGACTTTACCAGCAGACCTAGTTCATGTGTTGGATGATGTTGTGCGCATGGTAAACTTTGTAAAGTCACGACCCGTGAAAAGTCGCATATTTGCAGCTTTGTGTGAGGAGATGGGAGCGAAGCATAAAACCTTGCTATTTCATACGGAGGTCCGGTGGTTGTCGCGTGGCAAGGTCTTGGTTCGTGTGTATGAGCTGCGGGAGGAACTTAAAGTGTTTCTGACAGATGAGAGGGCAGATTACGCAAAACTGCTTGCAAGTGATGAGTGGTGTGCAAGGCTGGCATACCTGGCAGATATATTTCATCATCTGAATGAACTGAACACACGAATGCAAGGCCGAAATGAAAACCTGCTTACAAGTACAGATAAAATAAATGGATTCCGTGCAAAGCTGCAACTCTGGCATCAACACGTGGAAAGTGGCAATCTTGAAATGTTCACACTCACCAAGCAATGGCAAGGTGTTCACACTGCTGCACTGTGTGAGATAATAGCTAAACATTTAAAAACTCTCGAGGGGAAGTTGTCATTTTATTTCTCTTCAGTCTCCACTGAATGCCTTGACTGGGTTAGGGACCCTTATAGCTCAGCATCAGTTGGTGGAAAGGACATGACTTTACAGGAGCAGGAGGAACTAGCTGAACTGAGACAAAATCGTGGTTTCAAGCTAAGATTTGCTGATCTACCTTTGGACAGTTTTTGGTTGGAAACTGCCAAGGAGTTCCCCCTTCTGGCAAACAAAGCTATTTTGACATTGCTCCCATTTTCCACTACATATCTCTGTGAGTTGAGCTTTTCAAGCATGATTGCTATAAAAACTAAATACAGAGAGAGACTGAGAGCTGTTGACGAAGAGCTACGTGTGTGTCTTTCTTCGATTCCAGCCAGAATATCAGCTTTGTGTTCAGCCAAACAGGCCCAGGTTGCGCACTGAATCAAGTATTTTATAATTTTTCATATTTCTGTTTACTTACTATTTCATAATAAAGTAATTATAAAATACTTTCTTTGTGTTTATTTGAATCCTATTAAAGAGAGTTACTTTATATATAGTCAATATAGGCAAAGAGTTAATTTTTTAAACATTTGCTAATGGTGGTGTGCCTCGAGATTTTTTTCATGAAACAAGTGTGCCTTTGCCCAAAAAAGGTTGGGAAACACTGCCTTAAGGCATGGGTAGGCAAACTAAGGCCTGGGGGCCGGATCTGGCCCAATTGCCTTCTAAATCTGGCACACAGACAGTCCGGGAATCAGCTTGTTTTTACATGAGTAGAATGTGTGCTTTTATTTAAAATGCATCTCTGGCTTATTTGTGGGGCATAGGAATTCGTTCATTTATTTATTTTTCAAAATATAGTCCGGCCCCCCACAAGGTCTGAGGGACAGTGGACCGGTCCCCTGCTGAAAATGTTTGCTGACCCCTGCCTTAAGGGTTGCTTTATCCTGTGCCTTCTGATCAACATCAGAGCCCCTGTTCTGTCACTGGGATATGATCTCTGGCCTCTGCCATTATTATTAATTACCTGCCCTTCACCCTGAGGTCCCAGGGCTGGTTACAACAATGAAAACACAACATTAAAAAAGTAAAGGTAAAGGGACGCCTGACCATTAGGTCCAGTCGTGACTGGCTCTGGGGTTGTGGCACTCATCTTGCTTTATTGGCCGAGGGAGCCGGCGTACAGCTTCTGGGTCATGTGGCCAGCATGACTAAGCCGCTTCTGGCGAACCAGAGCAGCGCACAGAAACGAGCGGTACCTATTTATCTACTTGCACTTTGATGTGCTTTTGAACTGCTAGGTTGGCAGGAGCAGGGACCGAACAACGGGAGCTCACCCCGTCGCGGGGATTCAAACCGCCAACCTTCTGATCGGCAAGTCCTAGGCTCTGTGGTTTAACCCACAGCACCACCCGCGTCCCAAAAACACAACATGAAAAACAGTTAAAAACAACTTACGATCACAGAAAATCAAGTGGGTCCTAAAATATACACCTAAAGTTTCAAAAGTCAGGGTAAAAGAGCCTGTGGTCTAAGGACTGCTTTGCATGTGTACTTAAAAGGAAGGTGACCAATCCAGATCAGATGATCCTGCTATCCTGCTGAGGTTATTGGTGGCTGAATTTGCTTGCTTTCCTCTTCCTTCACAATTTATTTTGTATCATGTTAGTGAGTCTGCAGGTAGGGGACTATAGTATCTTTATCTTTTAAACTCTACAGAGCACTTCTAAACAATTTTAGACATGTTACAGGCACTAATCAAGAACGATAGGTAGATGAATTGGATAAAGGTAGCCTAGAGATACAGGAAATATATTTTTGCTACGGCATGTTATGTTCTTTTACATAGTGCCTTGAGAAACTCTTTGCCTAATTATTAAGTCAGTTTGTGCCCAATGCAAAAGGCCACAAAGAAAAAGAAGCAATGACCCATTGTAAATACAAAAGCCAGCAATTTACTCACATCAGCCCAGGTAACAACTACTCACCCCAGGTATCTTTAGAAGCTCTGATACAAGAATAGGCAACTTTAAAGCAGCCACACTTCCAGTAACACCAACAAGGATGTGAGTGTTCTTCTGCATGGGATCCATTTCAGTCTTGGGAACCATCACATTCTGTATGCAAACAAGGAAAACATGGGACTGTTATTGCTTTCAAACATCATTTCAGAAATCTGCGTAGGGCCAGATTTTGTTTATTTATTTCCTTGATTCCGTGTATGAATCACTTCGCATAAAATATTTGAAAGGATATTTTACTTTCAGTAAGAACATCAACAACAAAAACAATTCCATATGAAAAAACAACTCCATATATACAACTAAAAGCAATTCCATACGTAAGGACAAGTTCCAACACAGTGGCATAAAGGTTTGCACTTACCTGTTGAAAGAGGAAGGTCTTCGGTAGGGACTGAAAAGACAATAGAGACAGTGCCTGTCTGGAGGGAGTCCCAAAGGGTATGTACTACCACGCTAAAGGCCCAATTCCTATATTGTATGGAATGGACCTCCTGATGAGATTATATCCTGTAGAGCACAGTAATCTATTGGATATATAAGGGGTGAGCTGATCTTTTAGGTATCCTGGTCCCAAACTGTATACCACTTTGTATACTAGAACCAACGGCCCAAACTTAGGTTGGTAACTAATTGGCAGCCAGTGCAATTCTTTCAACAGCAGTATAGCACAATGATGACAGATGGCCCCAGTGAGCAGTTCAGACACTGCATTCTGCACTAGCTGCAGCTTCTGGGCCAACCTCAAAGGCAGCCCCACATACAGCACACTGCAGAAATACAACCTGCAGGTTACCAGCACAGGGACAAAAGTGGATTCAATGCACAATGACTTACTACTCTACTTTACTACAGAAAATACCAATTCAGGACCAAACACAGGCCACGCAATCTCTGAAATGGCAGGTGTGTATAGGAGAAGGAGAGTGATGGGACGGCAGGACCTCTCCATGTAATCTGCTGAACGATCAGGAATTTTTGGCTGCTCTCTTTTAAATCTTTCCATTCAATCTTTCCAGTCCATTCCAATAACTCCATAACTAGGATAATATCCAGCTCATTAAAGACATACAAACTTTAGAAAAATACATACCTGATGAATGTACATATCAGCCTTGAACATTGAAGCATGGTACTCCAGAGAATGGACAAAAGCTGACATGCCACATTTGTGCAACTAAAGGGAATTCTAACCCCCATATTTTCTAGAATGTGTGGCAGTGTTAGAAACTCAGAAATATAAACTGGGCACCAAAAGGATGTCTAGTTGTCATTTGGGGGCAAGATGGACTGACTGTGGTTGAATTATCTTTTCAACATGGGAACATTGCCTTGCAAATCAGCCAACGAAGGGTGCAAACCATGTCAACTCAGAAGTAATTCCCATTTAATTCAGAGGAGCTTACTCTTAGGAAGACGGGTTGAGAATTACAGGTAAAAGTGCCACTCTCCTTAAAGCCTCTTCACACCTGCAGGAGAAGAGAGGAACCAGGGAGAGGGCCTTCTCGGTAGTGGCACCCGCCTTGTGCAATGCCTTCCCTTCAGATATCAAGGAAATAAACAGCTATCTGACTTTTAAAAGACATCTGAAGGCAGCCCTGGATCGGGAATGTTTTAATGTCTAATGTTTTACCATTTTTTTAATGTGCCGTAAGCCGCCCAGGGTGGCTGGAGAAACCCAGCCAGATGGGCGACGTATAAATAATAAAATTGTTGATAAGTGACAATATAGCCCTCCCAGTCTTTATTACGCCTTTCAGCAGCCACGCCATGTGCACACGGCGAGGAATACATGTGTATGTATATATGCATGTCAGGGCGTGTTTGATCCGAGGATGGAACAAATCCCCAGGTAACCATTATCTTGGCCCGATCCCTCCCTCTCTCAGTCTGGCCCACCTCACAGGGCTGTTGTTCGTGAAGCCCAGGCTGCGATCCTAACCGCGCTGCTCTGGGAATCAGTCCCACTGAATTCAAGACGTTGTTAGGATTGCAGCCTAAAACGGGGGGTGGGGTGGCGAGGAGAGAACGGGGTACGATGCCCTCAGCCTCCTGGAGGAAATGCGACTAACATTAAAAAGCATATAAATAAGCAGCGACTCTCGACCTTCCCTTCCCCCAAACTCACCTGAGGGAACGAGCCGTCGTCGGATCCTTTCAGCGAGGGACGCAGGAGCACGGACACTAATGGAAAAGGACCTTCCGCTTCCTAGACGGCTGATTTTTGAGCGGTACTCGGAAAACCACTTCCGCTTCCTTCCATAGACTTACTGGACAGAATGACGAACTGTGCGGCTCAACTTCCGGTTCCTTTCTAGAACGAATGTAACCATAGACTTAAAAGTAGAGTGGCGCGCAAGCGTCAACTTTTACTCCTCCATTTCCCCCCCTCCCCCAGGATAGAGGAAGCCGGAGATCCTCATGGCATTTAATGGATGATTCCAGGATTTAGGAGATTTTTTTTAAAAAAAGGAAAGAAACAAATCAGCCAGGTTTTGTATCTCTTAATCCCAGCATCTCTAAGGGCAGCCTGCATAGGACATAGGAAATCCCACAACTATTTTTAGTTAGTTACTGATTTTTTTACTCGCAAATTTGCAAATTTAACAAAGAAACAGAAATTAAATAAAAAATACTATTTAAAAACTTGCTAATAATAACAAAAACATAGCAATCATCTGTTCACAAGCTGAATGCAATAATCATCAGTACATACGTCTTAAGTTACTATAAGCCCTCCAAATGCCTATTAATTCTGTTCCTGCTCACAATCCATTTTAAGACTGAGACCAATGCAGACTTTGTAGCTTTAACGCCAAACCAGTCTCCCCCCCCCGCGCCCCGCCCTCACCACCTTGCTTAAGACCAGGCTTTGATGATGAGTTCTGTAGAACTCAGACATTTGTTCACTATTTTGTGACATTTTAATTAGCCCAATAAAGGTACTGAGCAACTATGGACTTTGGAATTCTGCAAGGGGCCACATTCCCTGAATAGCCAAGCTTCTTTGGGCCTCAGTGAGCAGGGCCCAATAGAAAAAAGAATGGGCAGAGCAGCAGACATGACTTACATTTGGGCAGTAGGCTACATTTCAGTCACACACAAGTTAGAGGTTGAACACACAGACGCTCCAACAATTTATCCATCCTCCATCAAGGCAAGCTTTTTTCAGGGGGAACTCATCAGAACTCAGTACCAGCATCTCTCAGTTGAGTTTTGGCACATCTGATGGGTGCCATTGCCATTCTAAGAGAAGGAGGGAGGTGTTCATGACAAGTTCCGGCACCATTTTTTCTAGAAAAATAGCACTACTGAGAACAGAGCATTTTAGTGCTAGTTATCTGAACAAACTCTTTCATTCCCTGAAGCCTTTATTGAGCTGCATTTTCAAGTGATGTCCACTGCAGTCTTGGATGGCTGCTACAACAAGGTCCTGTATGCAGGCAGACTTTGTATTTGTGGTTAACCTTGGGTGGAATACATCATTATCTGTTAACCCGCCCCTTATATAGAGATCCCAAAGATCGCTTTCTGAAACCTTTGTTCACACAAGCAGGCAGGTACACCTTGGCAGAAATGGTTCAGGGTTTTTTGAGTGACAATAATAGCTTTGTAACACACAGTGACTCTATGCGAAAACCGCAAGAAAAACTTGGAGGTTTAATCTGAAATCAAGCTAGATTTTGGCAAATTGGTTTCTCTGTGTCTTCACTCTCTTACATAATGGATGTTGGCTTATGTTATGGGTTTATGTTCTGTATTGTTTTTATTGGTACTATTGCTACAAGTATGTCATGGCCTTTGGCTAGAAAAATAAACGTGTGAACTGATCTAATACTCGGTGATGATTAGTTTATGAAACTGTGTTAGTTAAGTAACTAAAAGGCATGGAGTATTTTAAAAGTATTTATGAAGATGCAGAGGATTACCTGTTTGAAAATGAAGATGGTCTAAATTAAGGTGTTTCAATATTGCCAGGGTATTTTGTTTTAAGAATGGATACTGAAGGCATACTAGGTAAAGGTAAAGGTACCCCTGCCCGTACGGGCCAGTCTTGACAGACTCTAGGGTTGTGCGCTCATCTCACTCCAGAGGCCAGGAGCCAGCGCTGTCCGCAGACACTTCCAGGTCACGTGGCCAGCGTGACATCGCTGCTCTGGCAAGCCAGAGCCGCACACGGAAACGCCGTTTACCTTCCCGCTAGTAAGTGGTCCCTATTTATCTACTTGCACCCGGGGGTGCTTTCGAACTGCTAGGTTGGCAGGCGCTGGGACCGAACAACGGGAGCGCACCCCGCCGCGGGGATTCGAACCGCCAACCTTTCGATCGGCAAGCCCTAGGCGCTGAGGCTTTTACCCACAGCGCCACCCGCGTCCCTTGAAGGCATACTACCCTTATGTAATTTGTGTACATGCTGTTCCTGATGTTGCCTGTTTTTAAGTGCTTAATAAACACATAAACCTAATGTGTCTAATTCCCCCATTTTTCAAACTGCACATTATCAGCTTTCCAACTGCACACTATAAAAAAACCCCTCCCCCAGCCCCGCAACCATACACTTGCTGACTACTCACCCAATTAGCAACCCATGCAAGAATCTATATCCACCCACTTTCTTGCCTGTCTGTCACAGCTATCTGGCAGTCTCTCCCCCTCTCTCATATCAGCTTCTCGAACATTTCTGTATTCCTCGTCACCGTCTCTGCATCTGACTCCTCTTTTCTCTTGCCATTTTCTTTCCGATGAATTCTTCTCCAACAATGCACACATTTTTTAAAAAAAATTTGTGGTGATGAACCCTCACAATACAAAACCAAACCAAAAGCACAACATTTGATATAATTTGTTTTATTAATTAGTCTCCAGGTTGACACCATTTCATCAGGGACAGACATGGAATGACTGAATAATCACAAGTGGTCCCCATATTTAAAAACCCCATCCCTTGCTTTTCCCATTTGTTCTCTATATAACATTTGTTTAAAAACTCTGTTGTGAATTAGATACATTGAGATGATTACTTATGGCACCACAGCTATTTGAGGAGTCTCTGAAAAGAAATGCAGAACAGGATCGCCAGTGTCTCTCTCTTCTTTACCAAACAGGAGCTCAGCGGAGGAGAAACCTCTGCCCTGCCTAAGCAAGGGAAACTCACAAGAATTCAATGCACAATGATTAGAAGCCATTATATTCCCTTTTTGAAAAATAAATTATTACAAATGCATTCAGCCCACAATTGTTCCCTATCAGATTGAATTTTTTTTCCATGAGTAACTCAGTCCAGCCATCAGCATCCAGCAAATGAAAACCCTTCTAAGACGTTACTGTCTCAAGTGGCAGCCCATAAGCAACACCCACTACTTCCAGGCTAAGATTCAAGGCCTATTGGTGCTACCATTTCAGCACACAGCAGACGCTGGAAATGCAGCTGCAAGATGGTCTTGGGGGACAAGAAGCCAGAACCCAACTAAGGAGGAAAAAGCAATGGGAAGCTAAACGTCAGGACAGATGGACAGAAGCTGGTGCTGGTAACAGTGAGGTTTGGTGCATGAGGTTTGTGAATACAGGAGAAGTCATCTATGGCTTACCATAGGTGCTGGGAGATGACAGCAAGCAATGGAACAATATGTAATCGCAGGTGATGGGATACCACAAGCAGAAGAGCCCTGCTGGATGAGACCAAAGGCCAGCATCCTGTTCTCACAGTGACAAAGCCAGATGCATATGAAAACCCCACTAGCAAGACATGAATACAACAGAACTCGCTCACTCTTGTTCCCCGGCAACTGTTATTCACAGTTACATTGTCTGTGACACTAGGGGTATCCTTTCTGGTTCAGCTCCACGCACCTCTTCTCCAAACCATCTCAAGGAGGCATTCCCCAATCCCTGCAAACAGCAAGCTGGCTGGCACAGAGCCCACAGTCATTCCCCAGTTGCATGGTCTCCATTTGGGGGAGCCACAGAGAATGAACAAATTCTCTAGCCTAGAATCCCTGAGATGCAGTTCGGGCATAAGATTTATCTGTACTGAAAACGCGCCTACCATTTTTGGCTTACAACAAAACCTGTGAACAAGGAAGGATAGATGCTAACACACACACACACACACACACACACACACACCCTAGAGCTGATATCATTTGGGTCCTGTTATCACCAAGCTGGTCAACCTGGGATGGGACTGTATTACTTCCAACTGCGGGTGGGATTTCACATGATAGAAAGCCCCTCCATTCAAAAACAACATCCCTACATGAAGAAAACTAGCACATCGGGGAGATAAATTCTAGCTTAGCCTTCTCACTGCTTGCTTTCCATGTACATGGTTTTTTTCCTTTTTTTAAAGGAGGAACATTTACCTGAAGTACTGTCGGGGGGAAATAAAAAATTGTCCAGTAGAAGAAGAGTTTGGATTTGATATCCCGCTTTATCACTACCCAAAGAAGTCTCAAAGCGGCTAACATTCTCCTTTCCCTTCCTCCCCCACAACAAACACTCTGTGATGTGAGTGGGGCTGAGAGACTTCAAAGAAGTGTGACTGGCCCAAGGTCACCCAGCAGCTGCATGTGGAGGAGCAGAGGCACAAACCCAGTTCACCAGATTACAAGTCTACCACTCTTAACTACTACACCACACTGGCTATCACAATTTAATTTAATTTAATTTATTAAAAGTAGCATATTTAGTTTATTTTTTCCGACTGCATCAGACCAACACGGCTACCTACCAGAATCTGTTCTAGGCACTGCAGAGGATACTGATAAACAGAGCATGTCCAGAGGTGGGAAAGAAAGATGGCCAGATGCCTGGAGACCAAGTCCTTCAAGGAAAGTTCGAAGGAGTTGGGCATCTCTAGCTGGAGAAGAGACAATTAAGATAGCCATCTTCAAATACTGTACTGGTTTAGAGTACTGGGCTGGGGCTGGGAGACCAGGGTTCATATTCCCTACTCAGCCATGAGGTTCACTGAGTGACCTCGGGCCAGTCACAATCTCTCAACCTATCCTACCTCACAGGGTTGTTGTGAGGATTAAAATGGAGAGGGGGAGAACTGTGTGTGCCACCTTGCGCTCCAGAGAGGAGGTGAGAGATAGTCATGTAAAATAATAGAATCACAGAATTGTAAAGTTGGAAGGGGCCACAAGGGTCTTCTAATCCCACGCCCTGCAATACAGGGATCTTCTGCCCAATGTGGGGCTCAAACCCACGACCCTGAGTGTAAGAGTCTCATGCTCTACCAGCTGAGCTATCCACAATAATAATAATGGTAGAGGGCTGAACTAGTTGATTTTGAGGTTCCTTACAACTCCTTATGATTCTAACATTCAAGATTCAAGCTTATGAGCCCTTACGTAGTAATACTTCCCCAACACAAATTCACCACTGCAGAGAGAATTGCTCATCATGTATACCTGAAGGGCATTTTCCCTCTTGGGGATCAAGAGCTACAGATCATCTTCAAACCACATTGTCCCCCCCATTCCCTTCACAGACTCGACCAACTTCTCTAATCCCAGAGCTGCAAGGATCATTACAGGGCACTGCCAGACACACTCAATAGGAAGCAAGTTCCCCCCTTCTTGTTGCTGCATTTGAAAGCAGAGCTCCCTGAATTTCTCAAGTCTGACTCCTCCGACTGATGAGCGAGATGAACAGAGGCCAAGATGTTCCAACTGATTCCATCTGCTCAGAATGACAAAGCTGGCTTCCCATCTTTGAGAACAGGCCGGCCTTTGCAGTTTTTAACGAGAGAAACAGGCATGCACTGAGGAGGTGGGTGGACTTCTACAGGGATGCTTAAAAATAGCAGAGTTAAAAAACCCTTGCTGCTTCCCCCACCACACCACACCAACACATACATTAACCCATTTCACAGAACCAACACAGGAGCAGGAAATATGCTCTTGTGAAGCAGAAGGAGGAAATTGCAGGTGATGGAGGTGAGGGGAGAAAAGGGAGGTAAAAAGCTTCAAGAAGGGAGGAAAAGCACACCACCACTCTGAATGAGTTTTGAAAGCATTCTTCTTTGGTGGTCTCTAATCCTACGGGATTAACCCACTTTTATTAGCTCTAACACAACAGAGGAAGAAGTTGCTGCAGGTAGCCAAAAAGAATGGCTGCCCATACAATAACTCCATTCTGGAGGACCCACCAAAATTAAGGTGAAAAGAATGTACTCTTACCAAAAGTCTACATTAAGTTCGGAAGGCAGACA